ACTCACCTGCTTTCAGTAAAGGGTTAAATCATAATTGACCAGGCAATCGTTGGTAACACTTTTATTTTTTGATGGACAATGACCATTGTTAGAACACACATTTCAAAAGTTGAAACCAATTTGATTTCCAGTGAATAATTTGGATTCAGATGTCATCTTGAAAATAGAATAGGCCTAAATGGATTCCCCTCTCAAAGGATATCAAAGACTAGAGATGAGTTTAAAGTAATTAACTTTTGAAAATCTTTTCGGATGGGATTTCTATTTTCTAAAATAATATGCTTTATTTCATAATACAAGATACTTTTTTAAAGACCAATCGCAAATCTTGTTAGCGCAAAATTAATGAATATAATTTTATGTACATATATTTTTCATTGACGCACTTAATATTTAGTGAACAATTTCTGCATTTTAAACTTTCACATAATTTCCACAATGATTGAATTATAGTGATACATTTATTAGTTATCACATAACAATGATAAATATAGTACTTTGCAGAATAGAAAGTTTAAAATGGAAATGTCTTATTGAAATGTGAAAACTGCATTGAGCAAGTGTAAAAAGCTCTAACATTGAAATAGCTGATAGATATTCTATCTTCCAGCATACTCATATGAGCAGAGATATAGAATTTCAAGCGGAAACATTAGGATAATCTGTTCTGTTTCATTTGTTTACTCCTGGACTATTTATGAAGTTTGGGGCATGGTTTACTCCAATTATACATAGCCAATTTGATGCATGCTAAATTATAACTAGGTCATAAGCATGTTCTGAGTAAACAAATGAATTGGATAATCTTCCATTAAGTATGTCATAGAAAGGTTAATTGAGTAAAAGTTGAATAATATCTTTATAATATTTAGATTTTCATAATCTTCACATCTGAAATTATTAACAGAATATCATGTTTTTGCCAAAATTTTATTACATGATAAATCCAAACAGTTTGGGAAAAGTTTGGGAAAAGTTATCATTACATTGCATCCCATGTAATTATATTTTCAATATAAGAAATAAAATAAATCAGACTGAGATTTTTATGATTTATCTATAATAACAATACAATGCGATACAATACAATCTCAGTTGCAAGTGGTGTTCCCGGTTGAGCACTGAATACCACATCTGACACTGTGAAGTAAAACACTGATTTCAATGTCTGAATCAGAGCTTTCAAAGCATTTAGGAATCAGCTGTAATTCATGACAAAAACTGTTAAAATGAATTTTTTGAAATGTTGCTTTATTTCATGGTCTTTATTGCAGCAATGGCATCATGCCTCTTAAATTGTTTGCTGTATGATGATAGGAATCGTGAAAGATATACTGTTTTTCCTGGATATGTTATAACCTTCAACTAAGAAATATGAACATGTTTACATTGACTTCATTTCAACTAACACCTATGATATATGGATGAATCAAAGTTTGAATACATTTCACTGCAGGGGCGGATCTGGGAAGCAACAAGGGGGGGGGGGCCCAAATTTCAGGTCAGAGAAAAAATTGTGGGCCCCTAAAACCCAAAAGTGGGCCCAAATCTTGAAATTTTGAGGCCCATTTTCTTCAAAATTTGGCCTGAAATTAAAAAATAAGGCCACAAAAGGCCCAATTATGACCAAAAAGGCCCACTTTTTGGACCTTAAGGCCTTTTTTGGCCCAACAATTTTTTTTGGGCCCACCCAAGGGGGGGGGGGGCGGGCCCCCAGCCCCCCCCCCCACCCAAGGGGGGGGGGCGGGCCCCCAGCCCCCCCCCCCCCCCTAATCCGCCAGTGCACTGTAACTCCAACTGGCTCTGTATTGGCCATGTTAATTAATATTCATTATATTGAACAGTATTTAATTTATTCTTAATGAGCAGATATCACTTTGGGGAGAGACTGCACATGAAACAGCATCTCATTAACAACATATGATACGATGAAGCAAAGCATGGGGCTACATACAACTCTCCCACTTCAAAAGAGAGAGTTCTTAATAAAAAATGAAAGTAATTAAAACTATATTTCAGCACGTTCATAATAAAATATTTAAAATTCTTGCACCAATCTTAAGCTGACTCCAATAGTGTACACATTATATTGCACATTATATTTGCTATTGAGTAACCATCTAAATAGTTTACTATTACAAAGATTGTGTATATCATATAATAATATTAATTATTAACATTGCACAATCCACATTGCAACAATATTCATATTGCAACAATGTTAAGGTTATATTAGATTCTGAAAGTATAAACCATATTGCAACAATCTGCACATTGCAACATTGCTAAGATTGTTAAGATTGTTTGCTATTCTGAGAGAAGTATAAAACAGATTGCAACAATCCAGATTGCAGATTGCACACATTGCAACAATCTGCACATTGCAACATTGCTAAGATTGTTGCCATTCTGAGAGGAGATGTATAAACAGATTGTACAATCCAGATTGCAGATTGCAGCAATGTTATATTTCGCATTGTTAGATTGCAACAATCCAGATTGCAGATTGCACACATTGCAACAATCTGCACATTGCAACATTGCTAAGATTGTTGCCATTCTGAGAGGAGATGTATAGACAGATTGTACAATCCAGATTGCAGATTGCAACAATGTTATATTTCACATTGTCAGATTGCAATAATCCAGATTGCAGATTGCAACAATGTTAACTTTCAGTAAAATTATGTCAGATAAGAAACGAGGCCCGAGCTAGGTCTAATGTTGTTGGACTAATATGAACCCTGCTTGAATCCTGGCTACGGGATTCATTTGTAAACATTACCTTCTGTATATGAATCATGCACGAATCCTGAAGGCTGGTTTCATTTGTCACTACCTTCCAAATGAATCCTGCATGATTCCCAAAAGATATGGTTAATTTGTAAAGAGCGAATCCTGTATGAATCCTGGGTGCAGATATCATACGTTTAGGAACAAATAATTCAGAAAACGACAGAACCGACCTGACTGCTATAAACGGACCCGGATTAATCATATACCCGTATGGCCTCGGATTTTGTAAACATGATAATACCATTTCATTGACCTTATTTCACACACGGCCAATGAGAGTATATCATTAAAAGACACTTGTAGATATTAAGTAAATTATTAAACAATTACCACTAGTGTTTCAAACACGGCACACCAAAACATTAGTTTTAGCACATACAACACTGACGGAATGGATCGCAGAATCACGGGAGTACACGCGGCAAACGGTAAGTTTAGGTTACCAACTCATCTTTTCCTGCAACTATAATAGATTATATACACATAGCTTGGCATGATACTTGAAATGTATATCACATTCTTGGCAATTAGAACAGATACTATCCTTTCTATATTCTTTATATAGATGAATGGTTAATAAATGGATACTTGTGGAAATGGGACACCCTTGATCTTGTGTGAAAACTCCAACTAGTATAATTGAACATTTCTGGTGCTAGTATTCAAATGAAGTCGGTAATTATGCAAATGTTGATCTTGTGAAAAACATTACAAAACGTTTTTGGTTTAATTTTATTTTTTAATGATATTGTGCAATTTCTTTAGATATACAATATACATGGGAAGAACTTATGCTACTCATGGTCGATTAATTTTACTAGCATATCTTGCATGCTAGTCATATTAAAGTCGTGTTGTCATTGTCAACCTTCTTCAAATTATCGTACATAAGCCGCCCTTGCTTAATGAGTGGCTTCACGAAAAACTAAGCCAGCACTAAACAGAAATCATATAGCCATGGACTACAACCCTTTATGCTAATTCCGGTGGGTCATTTTCTAAAGAAATAGTTGAATATGTTTTTTGCTGTACTGTACCTTTCCCACTTGAACAACATTGTGATTTTCAACAACTTACTATTTTATGCTAGTTACGTTTATTCACCAAAATGAACACCATTTACTTTAAATTGCCTTATTGAAAATGTGTTTTTATGAACTTTATTCAGTATATATCAAACACAGTGCACAGTACAGTGAAACATTCATGTTGTACCTTTCAGATATACCATACTGGAGATCATATCGCCTATCGCTTGCGATCATCAGTTTCATCGGCTTCATCTTTGTGTATGTTGTCCGAACCAATTTTTCCATCGCTATGATATGCATGGTCAAACGCCCATTTAGGAACCCTACGAGTGCAATGAACGAAACAAAACCAAAAATAGGAAATAACACACGTTTTACAGAAATCGACATTGGAGATGAAGCATGTAGCCTTGTAACACAAATCAACGATTATACGGTATGATATGTAAAGTGATTGGTGATAAATTACTCTCAGAATTGAAAATATGGGATTAAAGTCCCGGGACAAAAATTGAAAAATTTGGTGGCCTTTTGACAAAACACAACCAGATAATAAACGGAGTTATCGATATGATTTGTAGCATGGGGAGTTTGAATGGGATCGACGGCTGCAGGGATTGTTGCTCAGTTCATTTTTCTATGGATATGTCGTGACGCAACTTCCGGCTGGCATAATGGCTGACAAATTTGGCGGGAAAAGAGTGTTTGGTTTTGGAATGCTTGTTACAGTGGTTGCAATGGTGCTCATTCCTATCGGCGCACGGTTCCACATCTCTATAGTATTCATCTGCCGAGTGCTAATGGGATTTGGTACAGTATGTTCGATTGTGTGATGACATGATTTTTTATCTTTACCTTGAATAACTTGTAGATATGTAATCCCAAAACCTCCTATTTTCTGGGGTATTTTCAAACACACCTTTTAACATTTTCACGAGACGTCTGTCTGAATGTTTTGTTACTGATTACCACCAGGGCGTAGTATTTCCTGCTATGCACTCGATGTGGGGGAAGTGGGCGCCACCATTAGAGCGAAGTAAATTAATGACATTTTGTTATTCTGGTAAGTTTCAATACGTATAAATATACACATCTTAGCATGAATGAATTCAGGGTTCTGAGGAAAATGCTTTTGGCGAAGGTGTATATAATGTACTATGATTTAAATTTTAGGTGTTAATATAGGAACAGTTCTTTCCCTGACAGTTTCTGGTTTACTGTGTCACACAGGAATAGATGGAGGATGGCCATCCATCTTCTATGTGTCTGGTATACTATTTTGATTTTCAGATTTCCATATTTTAAGGCAAAATCAGATCTATGGGGGTGGTAAAATTACAAGCAAAAGCAACATATACAATTGACCTACCAAGCTATTCCTTACAATCTCAAATACAAAATCTCCAAAAAGATCTTCGATATATTATAAATTGGTGAATTTATGATGGATTAAAGGTGCAAAAATGGGTGTAAAATGTTTAAATTCTCCCAAACAATAAGAATGGTAACCATTCTTATAGAAAAATAATACATTATTGTAAAAATCTTTAGTTTTCCTGAAATAACGTGTGTACTTTGGGGATTTTTAGCAAATAGACATGAAAAGGAATGACACAAGCCAGAAATATTCTAAAATTGAAACAATTTTTTGTTTGGCTGCTCGCTATATCTGATTCTCTCTTTAATCTTTGATTTATTTTAAAATGAGCAATTTAAGATTGACATTGCACAAACAGCTACATTGTAGTAGATTTTTGGGCACTATCTGATTCGTCTACAATTTATAATCAGGTGGAGCGACATTTCTTTGGATACTGCTTTGGGCGTTTTTCGTATTTGATACACCACGTGACCATCCTAGAATCACGGATGTGGAGCGAGATTACATCGAGAGTTCAATTGGTCAAATATCAACAAAGAAGAGGAAATCTATTATAGTTCCTTGGCTAGAACTGTGGAAATCCAAACCACTGTGGGCGATAATAACGGCCCATGTTTGTAATAATTGGGGTGGTTACACCTTGTTGACAAGTTTACCTACATACATGAGAGACGTCTTAAAGTTTCACATTCGATCAGTAAGATTTTATACTTTAAGGATTCATACTATTGTCAACATTTTTATTAAATGTATTGAAAAACGTTCCTGATAACTTTCTTTTTGATAATCATATTTGGTTATTCATAAACATTTAAGCATCGTTGTAGACAGTTTTATTTAAATAGCAATTATTTCTGATTTATGCCATGCTTAATTTAGCTATCACACTCTGGTGCTAAATAATGTAACCTATGATATAGAACTATAATGTATTTTTTGTTCTACAGAATGGCTTTCTCTCAGCGCTTCCCTACATATGTATGTGGCTTTTCTTTATACTTGGTGGCCAAGTGGCTGACCATTTACGTAAAAAACAAAAACTTTCAACGGAAGCAACCAGGAAGCTTTTCCAAACAATAGGTATATAAAAACATTAGATTATACGTTATTCTGTACTTTTATGTTTAGTAAAATCGTTGCTGATATATAGTGAATAATTTTCTATTTACCACTGATTTCATTGTGCTCTCCGATCAGGAAAAACGAATAAAACGATATTGTGATCAACATTTTTCATTATCCCAGAAAGTAATCCCCCGAATGTTTCAGTCAAGAAAATGTACTGATTTTTGTTACGTGCCAACTATTTTATATTAAATGAGCAACGGTGTATACGATATTTGTTACGATTAGCACACTGTCATTTTTTAAAAACTACATCTAAATACATATCCATACGGCGTTTTCACTCAAGGGACCTGCTAAGGGTCCGTAGTCAGGGGAAGGTTTTGGGGCTTCGAGCGAAATCCCCATTTGGCCAAAATATCTTTCAAAACCATGCAGGGTTTCACGATTTTGAGCACTTTTCAAGTGATTTTGGGCCACAATTGTCAAATTTGAGCCCACTGGAATTGTTTAAAACTGACATGCCTTGGCAAAAGTTGATTTCGGGCCTGTGCTGTATTGTATACATATATATATATTTATACAGTGTAACCGAATAGAATAATGTGGTTCTAGTAAAGCTCAGGGATTTACGAAAAAGACCGACCCCTAAGACCGACTCTACCGACCACCGACTGGTCGGTGTTTTCCACTGGTAGCATAGATGACATAGGTTTAATCAAAATTGGGTTAGGCTGACAAGTCAATGCACTATCATCTAGTGCAAAATTTAACATAACGGTTTTGTATGTTGTTTGTAAACCACTATACATTTAACATTTATGTTTTAGCTTTTTTGGGGGCAGCCATTTTCATGCTCGCCACTGGATTTATGAATTGCGAGAGGCGCTATCTTGCTGTCGCATTTCTCACGATAGGGGTCACTCTTCAAGGGGCAGGAGCATCTGGCTTTGTCGTCAACCATGTAGACATAGCCCCGATGTTAGTTACAATTAGGATTCATTAACATTGCCAAGATTAAAAAAACAGCAACTCCACGGAGTAGCAAATCTCACCGAACAATTCGTAAAATATCATTTGAGTTATCAAAGATTACGTTCCATTTTTACGAAAAATGGCAGCCAATTTGAAAATCAGCCGCCATTTTGAAAATCTTTCTCAGAGAGCTACTGTGTCTCTGGGCATCAGCATATACAATTTGAACAAAATCCATGCACTGCTATTTGAGTTATCAAACATTACATTTTTACAAAAAATGGCGGCAATTTTAAAATTCAGATGCCATCTTGAAAATTCTTTGTCATACAGAGGAACTTTGTCTCTAGGCATCATCATATGAATTTTGATCCAAATCCGTTCACTGGTATTTGAGTTAAAGATCACGTTTTTACGAAAAATGGCTGCCATTTTGATATTTAGCAGCCATTCTAAAAATATTTTCTTCAATAGGCCATTTTGAAATTCAGCCGTCTTCTTGAAACCTCTTTCTTGAACAAATCTACTTTTAACGTAGGCATCATCATATAAAATTCGAACCAAATCCGTTCACTGGTATTTGAGTTATCAAAGATTACATTTTTTTTACAAAATATGGCCGCCATTTTGATATTTAGCATCCATTTTGAAAATGTCTTCTTCAGCGTAGCTCCCTTGTTTCTAGGCATCAGCATATAACCTAATCAGTCAACTAGTATTTGAACGGAATCCGTTCACTGGTATTTGAGTTTTCAAAGATTACGCGTTTTTTGTGAAGAATTTTGATAATATTGATTATATTAAGGAGCAATTTTGAAATCTCTTCTTCGGCGTACATGTAGCTCCTTTGTCCCTAGGCATCAGCATATAAAATTTGAACCAAATCCGTCAACTAGATATAGTATTTCAGTTATCAAAGATTATATTATACGAAAAATGGCGGCCATTTTTAATTAAGCGGCTATATTGAAAATTCCTTCTCAGGCAGAGGTTCTACCCCCATAAGGCATAAGCCTATAGAATCAAATCCGTCAACCGGTATTTGTGTTATCGCCCGGACAAACGGACAGACGGACAGACGGACAAATGGACAGACGGACCACTTTCCTAATATCCGCGAACTTTGTTCGGTGGGATATTAGGTTTTTATTGATGCAATTCACTATTCTTTGATCTCAAACTTATTTTGAGTATCAGATTTTACGAGCAACTAGAATATTTTGGGCTGATTGTTATGTTTATTTTCTAAAATCCACTCAGTGAATAGTTTATTAGAGGAAAACTTGAGTTTTACAAATATGAAATGTGTTAATGTCTCTCTAAATGTGGTGGTTGCTTTTAAGGATCATTTCACAGAATTTGGGCATTCAAATAATCACCAAATGACAGTATAACGTAGATTTTTTGAGAGATCTGACTATCCACAAATATTTGCCTGAATTTCATTTTCATTATTCAATTGTTTAGTCATCTTTATTCAGGTATGCCGGTGTGTTATATGGCATAACTAACACTGCAGGAACACTTTCTGGCATATTCTCTCCAATGGTTGTTGGTGTAATAGCTCCAAATGTAAGTAAATGCAAGCGACACTTTCTGGCATATTCTCTCCAATGGTTGTTGGCGTAATAGCTCCAAATGTAAGTAAATGCAAGCGACACTTTCTGGCATATTCTCTCCAATGGTTGTTGGCGTAATAGCTCCAAATGTAAGTTAATGCAAGCGACACTTTCTGGCATATTCTCTCCAATGGTTGTTGGCGTAATAGCTCCAAATGTAAGTAAATGCAAGCGACACTTTCTGGCATATTCTCTCCAATGGTTGTTGGTGTAATAGCTCCAAATGTAAGTAAATACAAGCGACACTTTCTGGCATATTCTCTCCAATGGTTGTTGGCGTAATAGCTCCAAATGTAAGTAAATGCAAGCGACACTTTCTGGCATATTCTCTCCAATGGTTGTTGGCGTAATAGCTCCAAATGTAAGTAAATGCAAGCGACACTTTCTGGCATATTATCTCCAATGGTTGTTGGCGTAATAGCTCCAAATGTAAGTAAATGCAAGCGACACTTTCTGACATATTCTCTCCAATGGTTGTTGGTGTAATAGCTCCAAATGTAAGTAAATGCAAGCGACACATTCTGGCATATTCTCTCCAATGGTTGTTGGTGTAATAGCTCCAAATGTAAGTAAATGCAAGCGACACTTTCTGGCATATTCTCTCCAATGGTTGTTGGTGTAATAGCTCCAAATGTAAGTAAATGCAAGCGACACTTTCTGGCATATTCTCTCCAATGGTTGTTGGCGTAATAGCTCCAAATGTAAGTAAATGCAAGCGACACTTCCTGGCATATTCTCTCCAATGGTTGTTGGTGTAATAGCTCCAAATGTAAGTAAATGCAAGCGACACTTTCTGGCATATTCTCTCCAATGGTTGTTGGTGTAATAGCTCCAAATGTAAGTAAATGCAAGCGACACTTTCTGGTATATTCTCTCCAATGGTTGTTGGTGTAATAGCTCCAAATGTAAGTAAATGCAAGCGACACTTTCTGGCATATTCTCTCCAATGGTTGTTGGTGTAATAGCTCCAAATGTAAGTAAATGCAAGCGACACTTTCTGGCATATTCTCTCCAATGGTTGTTGGTGTAATAGCTCCAAATGTAAGTAAATGCAAGCGACACTTTCTGGCATATTCTCTCCAATGGTTGTTGGTGTAATAGCTCCAAATGTAAGTAAATGCAAGCGACACTTTCTGGCATATTCTCTCCAATGGTTGTTGGTGTAATAGCTCCAAATGTAAGTAAATGCAAGCGACACTTTCTGGCATATTCTCTCCAATGGTTGTTGGTGTAATAGCTCCAAATGTAAGTAAATGCAAGCGACACTTTCTGGCATATTCTCTCGAATGGTTGTTGGTGTAATAGCTCCAAATGTAAGTAAATGCAAGCGACACTTTCTGGCATATTCTCTCCTATGGTTGTTGGCGTAATAGCTCCAAATGTAAGTAAATGCAAGCGACACATTCTGGCATATTCTCTCGAATGGTTGTTGGTGTAATAGCTCCAAATGTAAGTAAATGCAAGCGACACTTTCTGGCATATTCTCTCGAATGGTTGTTGGTGTAATAGCTCCAAATGTAAGTAAATGCAAGCGACACTTTCTGGCATATTCTCTCCAATGGTTGTTGGCGTAATAGCTCCAAATGTAAGTAAATGCAAGCGACACTTTCTGGCATATTCTCTCCAATGGTTGTTGGTGTAATAGCTCCAAATGTAAGTAAATGCAAGCGACACTTTCTGACATATTCTCTCCAATGGTTGTTGGTGTAATAGCTCCAAATGTAAGTAAATGCAAGCGACACTTTCTGGCATATTCTCTCCAATGGTTGTTGGTGTAATAGCTCCAAATGTAAGTAAATACAAGCGACACATTCTGGCATATTCTCTCCAATGGTTGTTGGCGTAATAGCTCCAAATGTAAGTAAATGCAAGCGACACTTTCTGGCATATTCTCTCCAATGGTTGTTGGTGTAATAGCTCCAAATGTAAGTAAATGCAAGCGACACTTTCTGGCATATTCTCTCCAATGGTTGTTGGCGTAATAGCTCCAAATGTAAGTAAATGCAAGCGACACTTTCTGGCATATTCTCTCCCATGGTTGTTGGTGTAATAGCTCCAAATGTAAGTAAATGCAAGCGACACTTTCTGGCATATTCTCTCCAATGGTTGTTGGTGTAATAGCTCCAAATGTAAGTAAATGCAAGCGACACTTTCTGGCATATTCTCTCCAATTGTTGTTGGTGTAATAGCTCCAAATGTAAGTAAATGCAAGCGACACTTTCTGGCTTATTCTCTCCAATGGTTGTTGGTGTAATAGCTCCAAATGTAAGTAAATGCAAGCGACACTTTCTGGCATATTCTCTCGAATGGTTGTTGGTGTAATAGCTCCAAATGTAAGTAAATGCAAGCGACACTTTCTGGCATATTCTCTCCCATGGTTGTTGGCGTAATAGCTCCAAATGTAAGTAAATGCAAGCGACACTTTCTGGCATATTCTCTCCAATGGTTGTTGGTGTAATAGCTCCAAATGTAAGTAAATGCAAGCGACACTTTCTGGCATATTCTCTCCAATGGTTGTTGGTGTAATAGCTCCAAATGTAAGTAAATGCAAGCGACACTTTCTGGCATATTCTCTCGAATGGTTGTTGGTGTAATAGCTCCAAATGTAAGTAAATGCAAGCGACACTTTCTGGCATATTCTCTCCAATGGTTGTTGGTGTAATAGCTCCAAATGTAAGTAAATGCAAGCGACACTTTCTGGCATATTATCTCCAATGGTTGTTGGCGTAATAGCTCCAAATGTAAGTAAATGCAAGCGACACTTTCTGGCATATTCTCTCCAATGGTTGTTGGTGTAATAGCTCCAAATGTAAGTAAATGCAAGCGACACTTTCTGGCATATTCTCTCCAATGGTTGTTGGTGTAATAGCTCCAAATGTAAGTAAATGCAAGCGACACTTTCTGGCATATTCTCTCCAATGGTTGTTGGTGTAATAGCTCCAAATGTAAGTAAATGCAAGCGACACTTTCTGACATATTCTCTCCAATGGTTGTTGGTGTAATAGCTCCAAATGTAAGTAAATGCAAGCGACACTTTCTGGCATATTCTCTCCAATGGTTGTTGGTGTAATAGCTCCAAATGTAAGTAAATGCAAGATACACTTTCTGGCATATTCTCTCCAATGGTTGTTGGTGTAATAGCTCCAAACGTAAGTAAATGCAAGCGACACTTTCTGGCATATTCTCTCCAATGGTTGTTGTCGTAATAGCTCCAAATGTAAGTAAATGCAAGCGACACTTTCTGGCATATTCTCTCCAATGGTTGTTGGTGTAATAGCTCCAAATGTAAGTAAATGCAAGCGACACTTTCTGGCATATTCTCTCCAATGGTTGTTGGCGTAATAGCTCCAAATGTAAGTAAATGCAAGCGACACTTTCTGGCATATTCTCTCCAATGGTTGTTGGTGTAATAGCTCCAAATGTAAGTAAATGCAAGCGACACTTTCTGGCATATTCTCTCCAATGGTTGTTGGCGTAATAGCTCCAAATGTAAGTAAATGCAAGCGACACTTTCTGGCATATTCTCTCCAATGGTTGTTGGTGTAATAGCTCCAAATGTAAGTAAATGCAAGCGACACTTTCTGGCATATTCTCTCCAATGGTTGTTGGTGTAATAGCTCCAAATGTAAGTAAATGCAAGCGACACTTTCTGGCATATTCTCTCCAATGGTTGTTTGTGTAATAGCTCCAAATGTAAGTAAATGCAAGCGACACTTTCTGGCATATTCTCTCCTATGGTTGTTGGCGTAATAGCTCCAAATGTAAGTAAATGCAAGCGACACTTTCTGGCATATTCTCTCTAATTGTTGTTGGTGTAATAGCTCCAAATGTAAGTAAATGCAAGCGACACTTTCTGGCATATTCTCTCCAATGGTTGTTGGTGTAATAGCTCCAAATGTAAGTAAATGCAAGCGACACTTTCTGGCATATTCTCTCCAATGGTTGTTGGTGTAATAGCTCCAAATGTAAGTAAATGCAAGCGACACTTTCTGGCATATTCTCTCCAATGGTTGTTGGTGTAATAGCTCCAAATGTAAGTAAATGCAAGCGACACTTTCTGGCATATTCTCTCCAATGGTTGTTGGTGTAATAGCTCCAAATGTAAGTAAATGCAAGCGACACTTTCTGGCATATTCTCTCCAATGGTTGTTGGTGTAATAGCTCCAAATGTAAGTAAATGCAAGCGACACTTTCTGGCATATTCTCTCCAATGGTTATTGGTGTAATAGCTCCAAATGTAAGTAAATGCAAGCGACACTTTCTGGCATATTCTCTCCAATGGTTGTTGGTGTAATAGCTCCAAATGTAAGTAAATGCAAGCGACACTTTCTGGCATATTCTCTCGAATGGTTGTTGGCGTAATAGCTCCAACTGTAAGTAAATGCAAGCGACACTTTCTGGCATATTCTCTCCAATGGTTGTTGGTGTAATAGCTCCAAATGTAAGTAAATGCAAGCGACACTTTCTGGCATATTCTCTCCAATGGTTGTTGGTGTAATAGCTACAAATGTAAGTAAATGCAAGCGACACTTTCTGGCATATTCTCTCCAATGGTTGTTGGTGTAATAGCTCCAAATGTAAGTAAATGCAAGCGACACTTTCTGGCATATTCTCTCCAATGGTTGTTGGTGTAATAGCTCCAAATGTAAGTAAATGCAAGCGACACTTTCTGGCATATTCTCTCCAATGGTTGTTGGTGTAATAGCTCCAAATGTAAGTAAATGCAAGCGACACTTTCTGGCATATTCTCTCCAATGGTTGTTGGTGTAATAGCTCCAAATGTAGGTAAATGCAAGCGACACTTTCTGGCATATTCTCTCCAATGGTTGTTGGCGTAATAGCTCCAAATGTAAGTAAATGCAAGCGACACTTTCTGGCATATTCTCTCCAATGGTTGTTGGTGTAATAGCTCCAAATGTAAGTAAATGCAAGCGACACTTCCTGGCATATTCT